ATGCAAAATAAGTTTTTCTAAAATCTGTGCATTTTCATCTTCTTCTTTTCTTACTATTATTTGTTATTTATAGATTGCACTGAGATAACCATGGTGGGTAGCTAATGATAATTAAAACTGGCCAAAGCTTTTGTCTTAAATCTTAACTTCATGATAGTCAATGTGCTACAAACTGCTGCTAGCTAAGTGGAGGTCCGCATTTCTCAGTAGCTTTTTCATTCTTGTCTTCTTGGTGCCACGTTTGTTTTGTGAAGTTCTTGCCACTGCTGTCCATCTTCACATATTCACATATGAAAACTGCTACATCAGTAATGCAAAAAAATAATGAACTCTGTAGAGTACTGCCTGCTGACAGTCAGTACCAGATTCAGACCATCTTGCTGAATTTGATACCCTAATATCTCTAGGGATAAAGCAACACTATGTAGGATTTGGGAATTTGGAGACCTGTCTGGTGAAAATATGTAATTGCATGTAACGTATGGAAGAACATTTTGCAACATCAGTTGTGCCTCAGACAAGCGAATGAATCTGACTTTTGCGAGTGTGTTGAAAGACTCTCCAAATTACCCACTCCTGCAAATATTCAGAATACATTTTCAGAACACAGAAATTAAGCATGTTTTCAGTCCAAGTTACATTTTGTAATGGCAGTGTACAGTGTACAATATTGTTTGTGATGAAGAAATCTGCAGTAATGCTGTCTGTTTTGTCACAGCACGCTGTCTGGCTGGAGAGGTGTGAATTGTTCTCACCCTTCCCCCATCAGCCCTCATTGCTCACTATCAGCTCAACACAGAGTCAACATATTCCACAGAAAGCTGGCAATGTCTAGTTAATCTGATAACAGAGTTACAAGGAAAATTATTTTATTTGATTGTAACAATAATAAATTACATTTTCAGAGCTGTGTGAACACAAAAATTTTTCATTTGTTGTCCTAGATCAGATACATATCTAAATTCACAGCCATGGGACTATAATGAGAATTGTGTGATAGGAATTCATTGTTTTTATTCCACTGCGCATACACATATGATCGTCATCATCCAACGCCGATAGCATGGGAGTTATGAGATTTTGATAGAGAGACGATATGCTAATGGTGTCATGACACATTGCTTGAAGTCAACGAGGAGATGCAGGGAATTTGTTGAACATGAGTTCTCCCTTTCCTCCTTCCTTCATTTCTCTGTCCTCTCTTGTTTTTGTCATCCATCTGGTCCATGTATTTCGACCAATAATCTGTAGTACTGTTAAAAGGTCACTGGTGGAACTACATGAGCACATGTAGAGCCCCCCTCCTCCTCGCTCTGTCACTGTAATAATTGCCCTTTTTAATTGGACTGCCCTTAACAGAAGATACGCCAGTGATGTCCTATCAATTATGAAAGCATAAGGTGGCCATCCGTGCATGTGTGTGTTGGGTGGGGGTACTTATTGAAACAATTCCACCTCTTCTGTCTCATCCCCAACCATAATCACTGTGTCACTGACTCTAAACGACAGCTGAAGAGAGAGAGTGCGAGAGAGAAAGAAAGAGAAGGTGGAGGAGAAAAGAAAGGAGTGATATGTCAGCAGGAAAGCAGGGCAGAGATTAACAAGTAATTGCTATTTGCTCTGTGCTTGTGCGCTGTTAGTATCTGCCATTAATCCTTTCACGTTAGTTACTTTTGTAAGCCAGTATGTTAAAGCTGTTGTTGGAACATGAAAATGAATCTCCAGTACATTGCAGTTGCTAAGTCTGCTTGCTCACCAGTCAGGTACAAACAAGTAAACTAGACGTTAGGGCTGAAAGATTAATTATTTATAGATCAAAGTCGTAATTTGAAAGAGTGCAGTTTTCAAATCACAGGAGCTGCACTTTTTATTATTTTATTAATAATTTTATTCATTTTATACTAACAGCATTGTCATTAGTTTTTATAAGTGGGGAAATTTAACCAATAACACAAAGTCCGTCAGCTGCCTGTAGATGAGTTTGGCCAATCAGAAGCAACCAAACATCCATGCGCGGTGTACAAAACAACCCCAGCTCTCTGGCAGTCTGGCACACTATGTTCAGTGTTCAAGCTAGAAAAGCAGATGTGCTGGTCTTCTTAGCCAAAAAAATATTTTAAGAAAATATCATAATCTAAGTCACAGTCACAATATTGGCAACTAGATGTTTTGACCAAATCATTAAACCAATATTAGTAACTGCAAATCATTTAAAAAATATTCGAATCAAACTGATGTTTTGATTTGGTCAATATACTAAACTGATATTTGATGATGTATTTATTGTACTCTGAGTAAGCCAGGGGTCACTGGGCTTATCTGCAAGGGGTGGCTGCAGGTGAATGCCCCCAGAACAAAAGCTCGCTTTTGACCATTCCATTTTTAGCCTGTTCGGTCTAAATCAATCACTCTTTCCTCTCAGAATTAGTATTGAAAAATAATAGTTCTTAATAATAATAATTTTTTGAGTTATGACCAAACAGACTGATCTCTCACCTTTAAGCGAGGCAGATGACTTTGGTCTTTGCATCTACTGGTCAGAGACTCCACAATTGCTGTATGACATTTATCTTCTGGGTTCATCCTTATGTTTCTGCTAGAAGATGAGTCCTTACAGTGAAGGACTGGCCAACATCTGTCCTGATTTGGAATTAGAGAGTTCAACCAGATAGCGCAGATTTGTTACATTGTAACATTTTGTGCTACATCCTTTATCCATTAGGGTGCTCAAAGAACTAAAAAGAACTCAAAGAACTACCTCACTGTGTTGCATCAAGCATCTTGCTTCAGGTATCTGAAGTTCCTCAGAGAACCGTAGTTTTCAAAAGGGTTCCTGGAGGATTCCTAAAGGCATCTGCCAGTGCAGCAAGCTGAGGAACTGAAACAGAAGCCTTGAGTATCCAATTTGTCTAACTTATATTAGGAGAACACGATGTGGCAAAAACATAAAATCGCAATACCGCGATTTAGTTAAAGAAAGCTGATTATTTTCTTTTTGTAATTAAGCAAGCAGTTGGTCACTGTACTTTAAAGGGCCAATATCATGGAAAACCAGATTTCCCTCACTTGTTTGAAAAAAGGAGTTTGAAGTAATATGTTAACAACATTGTTAGTCACTCCTCAGTTTGTACAATCCATAGATGGAAACCGTGTTACAAAACAGCTCTTTTTTGAGGTTCATTGTTTCTGTGATGTCACAAGAGCCAACTCATAATATATATATATATATATATATATATATATACCCATTCAGCCTACAGCAGTTTAGCTTCCATTCAGTGAGGCACAATACAGGACAGCCAATCAGAACAGAGCTCATTTGTCTCACATATGTCTTAAAGGCTCAGTAATTAAAAAATGGTCATATGTAAATGAATTATGACTATTCTTAATACATAAATCCACACATATCTTATAATTGGACCTCAAGGGAAAAAATAAAATGCAAGAAAAATTAAATGGGACATGGACCTTTTTCTGATGATATCCACCATACACTCAGAAAAGCTTGTTGTGACATAATTTATCACAAAAATAATAACGTATCATCATATTGCCAACCACTAGCCAGTATCACATAAAGTCAACTCGTGGCACATATACACATGACCTGACGAAGGTAAAAAACAAGTGCTCTGAGAATTCCTGATGGTTTCGCCTCAAGTGAACATTAGGCTTATTGGACTCCAGTCTAAGGCAACACCCAGTAAGAAGCATGACTAAAACATGGGAGAGTGACGTGATGAACGCCAGGACAGTGAGGTCACTCCAGCCAGCGAGGACTGTGTAGAAGTGGACAGCTGTGAGATTCAGCATACAGTGCAGGAGAGGCTGGAATGAGAGTGTCTTAGGCTTAATGGTTGGTATTTTCTTTGGCATCACCATCATCACACACACACATACACACACACACTCAGTGATTTTGTGTGCTTATGTGGCTGCCAGTTGGAGCAGCTGGTATTTTGCTGGTGCAGCTTTAATGTCCATCTGTGAGTGAGGGAAGCTTGTCTTATTGGTCAGTCATGTTTTTGTTTTTCTACTAAGAGTAGGAGTGTGAGAGAGCAAGGGCAGTGTTTCGGCAAGAGTGTGTGGTTGTATGTGTGTCAAAGAAATAGTTGTGCACAAAGACGTAGATGGGTTGAGTGTGTACGCTGGTCTTAGCTTTGACCTGGGTCTCCCTCTCTTACATGCTCACTCTTTTCCTTTTTCTCACACTTTCTTCTCTCTTTCACTCTTTCTCTTTCCTTCTTCTCTCTCTCTCTCTTTCCCTCTTCTCTCTCTCTCCCTTTCTCTTTCCTGTCTTCTTTAATTACTTTCTTTTATATTTTGCATTTTCTTACCTGCAATCTAAAACAGCAAATGGCAGGTAGGACAGTGTTCATTTACAGACCAAGACCACTCTTTGTCAATCTCCCTGTCTCTCTCTTTATGTCTGTGCTTTCTCTCTCTTTATTTTTCTCTCCTCCTTCTTTCCTAGTCTCTCTCTTTCTTTTCATTCTCTCTCTCTCTCTCTTTCCTTCTTTTCTCTCTCTTTCTCTTTCTCTCTCTCTCTCTCTCTCTCTCTCTCTCTCTCTCCCTGGATTCAGTGAGTTGTCAGACTCATCTTTCTCTGTGCGACAGATGGCCGCACTCGACATTTCAGCGCACACTCCATACATGTAGTGTGTGTGTGTGTGTGTGCACACGTGTTGTACAGAAATACCTGAAAGTCTGAAAGGTTGTGGTGGGTTTCTATTTTAAGTGTTGGTGGTCCTCACTCACTCTCCTGCTGTGATGTGGCAGTGAGTAAACTTTGTGGGAGATTAGCACACACTGGACAGGAAGAGCTAAAGCTAAAGCACTGTCTCGTTTTGAAACAAGCGGGATCATTTGAGAAATAGAGAGAGTTCCTGTCCCCACCCTGTACTGATGAATGCCCTGTGTATTATGTGTCACTGCTTCAAAAGCTTTCGTCCAGCTCTTTTACTCATTCTGACCTTTCTTTTCTCTACCTCCCCCAGGTTCTTCCTCAAGTTCTTCCTGAAATGCAACCAGAATTGTCTGAAGAATGCGGGGAACCCGCGGGACATGCGACGCTTTCAGGTAAAACCACTGGGTCTCTCTGTCTCTCTCAAATCAAATAAAACCCAATCAAATATGCTTATTTGGCATGACAGGGTAAAAGACCTATACATAGCCAAAGCTGTACAAAACATGTTAAATTGATTAATCATTAAAATATAGAGAATTAGAAAGATAAAATGAAGTTAGGATTAATAATGAATAGAAAGTTTGTAGTACTAGCATGAAAACAAATAACAGAACTAGTTAAGAAAGGAAAAAAGGAAAATACACACATGCAACAAATAAAAAATGAAGTAAACGATAAGGTAAACATGAAAATTAAGGTGCACATTTCAACATATGATATCAGCTATGTTATGCTATGTTATTTTTTAATTTTTAATGGCAGTTATAAATAAACTGTCTACATTTTCTCCTAGTAATATCTGATTTTTCTTTCTCTCACTTTCTTTCACTCTCTCTCTCTCTTTTCTCTCTCTCTTTCTATTCATCTGTCCATCCATCAATCCTCCTACTTCTTTTTTTTCTCTCTCTTTCTTTATCTTGTCAGTTTATGTGCCTGGTATTAAGCACGGTTCATAATGTCATATCATCTGAAAGACAAGATTCTTGTTTTCATGTGATCTTTCATCAAAATGTAATGACTTTTAGAAGGGCCTAAAAGATCTAGTGTTTTTATTATGTCATCATGCTGTGCAGGAAATTTATTTTAACCAATAATATTATGTTTCACCTCCCTTACCCACAACCTTAGCTTTAAATTGAGTGAAAACACTCAAAAACACGCTAGCTTGGAGAACTTCCCTGATACTCTGTTTCATTCAGAGAAACATCACAGTATGGACAGAAGATGTGTTAAGATTTTGCGAGGTTCATGGATACTAGGTTCAAGATAAATACAGTGCATTACTGTGATTTTTTTCATGGTGAAGGGTATTCTTAGGCACGACATAAAGCAGAGTGCTTAAAACCCCCTTTCCTGTGATAAAATCACAGTAACGAACTTTGAGTGGCTTATTGCTTTTATAAAATGGTGGGAAACATAACGTATGTTAAAATACACAAATTTTCAATAAATAATTTGTTATTATTAATAATAATTGATATAAACAAGTATTCCGCAATAACTGTAGTTCCTTTAGAGGCAGGAGTGCACAGCTCCAGTTCTGCACAGTTTGGTAGTTTTCCTATTCAAACACACCCACTAAACCTGGCAATTAACAGATGAGTGTAATCAGGTGTGTCTGAGCTGGTAAATCACCAAACTCTGCAGGACATCGGCCCTCCAGGACTGGAGTTGTGTGCCCCTGCTTTAGAATATGGTATTGTTGCCAAGCAATCATGGACTGCTGAATGAGGACAGAAATGCTCCTTGTGTATTGCGGTCATTTCATGAACTTTTAAACTGTTTGTCATATAATTATGAGCATATCATAATGCAAAACTTTTGCTTTGTAAATTAATATAAACCTTTGCTTTATATATGAATACTTTATAAATTAACACTCATGGTTTCTTCTTTTCGCCTGTTAACTAGCTGACCAGCCTAGTTTCACATAAGTTGTCAGCCCCTCAGCTTAAATGAAATCGGGTTCTTTCTTTATCAGTACACTGAGAAGGCCATGCAAGCAGCATTGGAGTAAAGGTTATTCCATTAACTGCCCAAGGATTTCGTGACATGGCGCAGTAATACAGAATTCAGTTGTTGTGAGGTGATCAGTGGGCATATATAGAGTATTTGACAACTCAGCCAATCAGTTTGTCTCAGTGTGTCTCAGTTTTAAACTCCTCCCATCTCAGTGTCATCCTTCTTTTAGTTTCAGTCCAGCAGTGACTGAATCATTAGTTTAGCTATACTGAGGAAGGGCTACAGGAAGAGTACTGCTTGTTAGCCATTGAGTCTTTCTTGGTCTTTCTCTCTCTCTCTTAGTCTCTCTCTCTCTCTCTCTTAGTCTCTCTCTCTCTCTCTCTCTCTCTCTCTCTCTCTCTCTCTCTACTGTAATTGGTTCCTCTTACTTCCTTGGGAAAGACCCTCAAGATACCCCCTTCTTCATGTCACTTCATTCATTTAATTCTTTTTTTAATTATATACATTCTTGTTTCTCATTTAGTCACATTTCCAAGTCTAGGCATTGTGAAAATTTTATAAATGTCACAAATTTGCTGACTCATTTATGTAATGGACTGTAAACTAAGCAAAATGCATTCCCACAGAGTTGTGTCTACCATTACCATATCATACCAATAAAGCTTTGTTCTCGCCAAAGATTTTAAGTTATATAATAGTAATTTTTTCTTAAAACAGAACATAAAGGAGTATAAAGCCAAACTTGCCAGATGACTTTAATTTTAACTAGGGCTGCACGATTAATCGTATGTAAAGCCAACTTGCAAAGTGCACACACATGCGGAGCTCTAAAACTACTATATCCTTACCTAAATAACAAGTAACAATATTTCAAACATTATAACTATTCTCTCATATTTTTTTCTTTTCCCAACCTATATAGAAAGGCTTGCTATTCTTGCTCTTACCATTCTTAACTATCAAGACTGCACTGTGTTATGGGTATACATATATATTTTTAGCAAAAGTAATTATGTTTTTAACTGAGCTACATGTTTCGTACATATTTCTCAGTGTACATGGGAGTCACAACTTGCCTGTCACATTGCCCACATGTGACGTGATTAAATTGTTACAACACTGTTACGTCCTACTGTGGCTATTCATCTAATGCACAGTGACCATGGCCTGTTGTTAGCCTGAGGTTGAGCATGTGGTTGTTTAGGACATGAGCCATGTGTAGCATGCTGGCCGTTAAAGAGGAACCCCGCTACACACACAGTAGAACCCCATTATTCTGACAACAAAAGAGAAGAAAAGTCTATGAGGAATTGGGAGGAAGGCTGAATCTGTGAGTGTAAAAGAGAGATAGAAGTCAAAAGACTGGGAGTGTTTGAGAGAGAGAGAGAGAAAGAGAGAGAGACAGAGAGAGTAGCAGTCCCTTGGAGACTTCCCTCACTTTGCCAAGTCCTTTCTTTTTGGAGCGCTAGGATTCCTCTCCGAGATCAGCTGCAATTAAAACGAGAGCTCTCGGCAGAGCTGCCAGGGGAAAACCTCGGCTTAAGCTGGCCTCGCTAACGCCACTCACCACACCAAGCCCCAAACGCCATTAGCTCCACGCCATTGTCTCAGAGCACTCGAGTGCTGCCCGCTTTTTAATTGAATTAATCTGCGCCAACCCCTATCAGCAATCAATCACCTAGAGCAGGGGATTGTGGGACGGGCGGATGGAGCAGGAGGAGAGGCTGGAGGACTTTGATAAAAGACGGAAAGGAGAGGTGTGTGTGCGAGTGTGTATGTTAATTAGTGTGAAGAATAGAGGGGATTAGAGACTTTAAGTGGTGCAGTCACAGCGCAGCAAATGAAGAGGCCAGTTCAAGTGATGGGAATTTTACACCAGAAGACTAGAATAAGTGGCTGCTTAATAGAAAGTTGCTCTAAACAAATGGCTGTAATATTAACATGATTATTTCTCCTTTTCTCCTTGTAAATGACATAATTAGATGTAAATCTTATACATTTGTAATATACATTTCAAATGTCTTTATGAAAAGCACATCTGCCAAAGCTCTAAATTTATTCTGTAAATGTTTCTTTCCATACATTTTAATGCAAAATGGTAAGTGATGGAAGAAGTTTGCAAACATTTCACATGAGGGGAAAAATCTAATTTATGCAATTCTCTTCAAATGTAGTTGATTGGCCAAGGCATGTTTTGGTGTTCATCCGTTTTGCAATGGATCTACAAGGCCAAAAAAAAGATGCTTGGTGACACAGACTTACACTTCCATTATTTGTTAGCTACATTAGCCTTGAAGCTCCAGTGCAAAACTAAACTTTAAAAACCAAACAGCTACATTTAGGGTAAGGAATAAATTGTGTAAAATTGTATAAAGTATGAAAGTACTTGTACTACAATGCAACAACAGTAAAACTATTCAAGATATTAAAAAATATATGTAACCTCGTATTATTTAAGTTTGAGTTTGAGTTTCATTTGAGTTTGAGGGTGAATTTATACATTACAGATATTCTGAACAATTATGATCTACTTTTTTGTTAATGACTTACATACGATGATGGCAGATAATGTAGCTGTGTGCAACAGTTTGGATGCCCCTGGTGAAATATCATGGTTTGTTGATTTAAGTGAAAATAGGTCAACACATGTTCTACAAAGAACACATTTCTGCGCATTTTAAAGCACAGTTATTGTTTATTTGCTGAATTTAAGATACTGGGAAAAAACGTAAACTTCTCTTGTAAACTGTCCATTTTGCAGATTTGAGGTTTTGTTTTGTTACAACTTTTTTTTTTTGGAAAAGTAAGTTCACCCTGTATTAAACCTTTAACTTTTGGCTCCTATTTAACCTTTAACGCTGTTCGTTTTTCAGGTTGTAGTGTCCACCACGGTGAGTGTAGAAGGACACGTTCTTGCCGTTTCAGACAACATGTTTGTGCACAACAACTCAAAACACGGGCGGAGAGCACGGAGGCTGGACCCTTCAGAGGGAACGCCGTCATATCTGGAGCATGGTAAGCAGCCTCTTTTTACCGTACTTTAGCAGAAAAGTTACTCGTACATTACCCCAGAAACTTACCTGAACTCTATTTGCGTATTTATTGACTAAAAATTTTACTGTATTGTAATAATTTTACTGTGGAGATTACTGATGCTAATATAGACACCTTTGGCATACTATATATACTAAATTTAAGGTGCAAAACACAACTATGTTATGTACGAAACTGGCGCAAGAGCATAAATGTTTCTCGGCTGTGTTAGTGGTAAAATGTGAAATGTGTTTCTCTCCCTCATGCACATGCATTTGAGGGAGGACACTTCATAACATTGGAGGATCACGCAGAAAATGGGTGGAAATATTACATGAATGGATGAACACATATTCCGCTCAAAAAAGACACACTTCTGCGAGACGTGATTTAATAATGGCAACACACAAAGTGGTCATACGGGGACAAGACCTTCATACACATGCTGAAAGAATGTTTAGAGGAGCACTGCTTAAACTCTTGGACCCAGTTGCACGTACATGAGAAGACATGGCACAAAATATGCAGTGATGTGGCTGCAATATGCACACATAGTCTGTGTTATTGTTTCACAAACTCTATTTTCTTAGCTGGAGTGAAATAACACTGCAGTAGAATGTTTTGGTTGGCTCCATTATGTCACTGTGCCTTTTAAACATTCAAGAGCAAGCTGTTAGTGGGCGGAGCTACACACAGTTTGTGTGATGAACTGAAGCCTTAGTATCCTGAATGTTATAAGATTTAAAGACGTCTCTAGTGGAAATGTGTAAATGCAAACAACATTTGGAAGAACATTTTGTATTGTTAGTGGTGCTTCAGACCCCCTCCAATTTGATCATTGTGAGCACAATGACACAGTATTCCAAGAAAACTCAGTCAAAACTTAGTAAAGGACGTGTCTCCTCAGGATGTGAGTGAATTATCTTCTATTATCATCATGTATTCATCAGTATAATGTTGATTTTGCATTTGAGACCAAAACATTGAGACCTTCTTTTACAGCTTGTGCATACAACGTTAATACATACATTATATGACATGGTTTGACAAACTCCCATGAAATCCAACCCAACAGACTTTACAGGATGATTCGCAGTAGCAGAGCCCATACTTTAGCGTGTTTCTTTTTCTCCTGAATCAGTAATGCTACTTCTTTGACTTTTGGCAAAAAAACGCAAAACGTACATACTCTGAATTAAGGTGTGTTGTGGTCACGTTACACATTTTGTGCTGTGCCCGTGCTTATACATACCTCTGACCCCGCGGTATGGTATTGGCTGATTTTTTCCCTTTAATTCTACTAAGCTTTAAGATTAGCTATTTTTAGTTGAATGATTTGCCCAATACTATCTCTATAATACTATTTTAATTCACTTAGGATGAGCATCTTACAGCAGGCTATCATGCTCAACTTCAAATACATGAACAGCTACACAGGAATAACTACACAGCTAACAGCATCTCATCCCACTATGTCAGCATGCTATTTCAGGATAGATTTGTTACAGGATTGGATCAGCATCTGCATTTCAGCTGATATTTGCCCAATACTATCTCTGTCAAGCACAATCTTCATTCCAACACTCTTAACCAAAGCCTATTAAGTTCTTTTGTTTAACTACGCTCATCCTAAATTTAGAGATCTTATCTTATGTAATAATAAAATATAATGTCTATCCTGTTTTTATGCTGCAGGACCTGTCAGACATTTCCCTTAAGTACGTTAACTGGGTCATTTTAGGAGGGAAAAACAGCAGTGTCAGAAAGAGAGAAAGAGAAAGGGTGGGAGGGAAGAGGACTCACTCGTGGCCAGACAGGGACTCCTGTCAGATCGAGTGCACACACACTTTATTATCTCGTGATCAAATATGCAGTGAGCCTCTGCCACTGACACACACACAGTAATATAACTTGCTATTCATTTTAAGTATATTAGATTTGTGTGTGTAGCGGAATCGGTCTACACCCACACACACTTCTTTGAGCTTTGACCCCCCAAGTCATGTGTCCAATGGAGCAGAGAAAGCAGGGATGAACCACTGATTAATTAAAACACAAAGCAGTGTCCTCCCTCTAGTCCTTCCTCTTCCAGCCCTTTATTTTAGCATTCTATTCCTGCTGGCAGGTTCTAGTAACTCCCTCTCAAGGGATGAGAGACATTACATATAAACCACACCATCATTCTTTGCATTGATATGACAACCCTCATTCACACCTCACTTAATCTGCAAGCTTTGAATTAATTCCCAGGCCTTACCCCTTACCTTGCTAGAGCTATCACTGTCATGTTACTGTTGTGTTTTTATATATTTACATAATTATATAATGAATTAGATTATGAAATTCATTTACATATTATTCACATTCTGTATTGACTGTGCTTTTGACTTTGCTCTGTTTATTAGTTAATGGAAGGAGATTTTAATTTATCATCATCACACAATGCAAATGGCAGGAGCTGTTTTCAAATGATGTAAAATTATCAATAGCAAAGCAAAAAAAAGTGGAGGTACATGATTTTTTGGACAGCAATGATATGTAAAGTTTTTTTTTTAATATATTTGAAAATGTGTGACACTAGCCACGTTTACATGCAGCCTGATAATCCGTTAATAATCCGACTAATAGCTCAATCGGAATAGAACACGTCCATGTAAACACCTCAATCGGAATAGACTAGTCCGATTGAGGCCATTCGGAATACAATTTCTATCCGATTGAACGAGGTGGGTAAACTTATAAAATAATCCGTTAAATAGAAGAATAATAACCATGTAAACGCCTGAATCCGATTACATTCCAATCGGAACGTGTAAGTATGTTCTGCGCATGTGCGTCGCGTCATGGCGAAAGTTTATACCGTTCAACATGGCGGAGCAGAAACGGGTCTGCAGAGGAGACGAAGTTCATGCTCTGATCTTTAAAAGACGGTGGTGGGACGGACGTCTAGCTTATGAGTCTCAGAACACGACGTCTTCCTCTCGCCGCTTCCTTTATAAGCACATGTGAAGCACGTTTTCCTGAGTCTGACATCATTTTAAAGCAATTAAAACACAAGCGCGCCAACTGGAAACTCATATCACGCGGACTGGACCTTACGTGATGTTCGCTGTCATGGTAACGTTTACTCTAAACGCTACTCCACGCATGCGCGTCATTTTGCATCGGATTACTTGTAGTGAGCATGTAAACGAAGATTTTACATCAAATCGTTGAATAGAGTGTGCGTATAAACACCTCAGTCTGAATCTGTAATCGGATTGTATTCAATCGGATTGGCAAAAATCTTTGCATGTAAACTTAGCCAATGACCAAAAAGTGCATTTTTGCCAAATGTAAATGTAAACATTTTCACAATACAATTTATCAAAAGCTATGAATACAGTGATTTTTATTCAATGTTTCACATACTACTCTGCACTCTATCCAGTTAACCAAGGGTGATTATGCTCTCTTCATAATGAAACATGCAGTTGCTGATGATATATCCCCAGTATGCACAAACAGCTTGTTGTTTATTATTATTGTTTATCACAATAGCAAAATTTATCACAATGATGATAAAATGTTGTGATATTACCTTTACATGCCCATGTCTGTCTTTTCCATAATGGTTCAGAGAACATTTACACAATTGTCTACTTTTTTCCTGCTTCATCAGTTTACCGCTAGAGCTGTGCGGCTAACATTGCTAACAAACAGGCAAGTGATGTGATGCTAGATTAGGTTTGTAATTTCAGTTGTGTTTCTGTTTTTAAATATATATCTTCAGTTTGAAAATTGAAGGTGAACAGTTATTTATAAATCATGAACATAATCTGTAGCATCCATTTGCCTATGTGATGTGAGCACGCAGCAGGCAGCCGGATTCCAGCACAACACTTGCTGTCTAAAAAGGCTACCTGCAGTGTTCGGGTATGCTAAGAACATTGGATCATTTTTATAGTTTACAGTAAGTCATACTGTGTCCTAAACCACATGCACAAGTCTGTGAGACCTTAAGACCTGGATGCAGTTTGGGAGAAGTGTTAATGATGTATTTACAAAAGATTTGGGTGACTACTGACTTCTAGTGTTTGTTAGTAATATAAGCCTTATAGCTGATATTAGCTAAATAAGCAAAATGTGGACACCAGGCATGTCTTGGCAGATTGTCAACATCAGGGATCAGTGGAAAATCACATAAATTAGTTTTTTTATTATTATTATTTGACAAACAATCTGGTGATTAGGAGTTTGATACAAACTAAAACTGCCATATTGTTTTGGCTTAAAAGATGTGTTCTTGCATCAAAATGTCTTTTTGCATGAAGTTACTGCCGTGAAGTTATTAACCCTTACTGCCGGCATGGGACAAATGCCAACATGGTTTCATCACGTTTCTGGTGTAGTGACTTAAGAATGGCCAGTTGTGGCAAGTATGTCAGTCACCTCCTTTCTTTCAAAACCATTTAGTTTGTGCTGGAGTGGCCATAGTCAGTATATGTTAGCATCTTTGTCAGTGATGTACATGTCTGTCTTTTTCCCCAGTTGTCCTAACAGTGTCCTTCAAACTCGTAAATGCCCTGACAGGTCATTGGTTCACAGTTTTTTCAGGCTACTCAAAGATTGCAACGTTGCTGTGCCCACTTTATATATACTTTACTATTTCCTCTTGACAGATGTGGAAAAAGCGTGTGCTTGTTATTAAAAAATGCATGTTTTAATGCACCCCTGCTGCTCGTTCGCTGCTCTGTACATATACATTCACCTTGAAAACCTGCTGATGAAACACGGCGGAAAATACTGCCTGCCACCACGTCCATCACAGAGGATTACCGACGATTGATGCGCTGCTTCCGTAATGGATGGCGGAAAAAAAACTGTCTAGAAAATGCCATTTCCACCTCATTGGTTCATGAAAAAAACTTAGTGGCATTACAAAAAAGACAAGACATGGCTGGTTTCCCTAGTGGTGCTGTTGGGCTTTGATTGCTCCCTAT